TTTTTTTTCGGCAAGACATGATAGGTCATGTGAGGCATTGTTGACAAGACGGACACCTCTACACGACGTAACGCTGACCAGACACAGGTATCACCGAATACCTCATCATATTCGGCACCGCCATCGGTACAGAAGGCCATACCGGCCGCCACACTGCCGACGACTACTTCCACATCCTCGCCGGCACCCAGCTTGCCTACTTGCCGGGCTCCTATGAGCCTGAGATCTACCCCCAGGGCAGCGTGCATCATCTCCAGCGTGGTACCGTCAAGCAGTACAAGATGGATGAGGCGTGCTTTGCCCTCGAGTACGCGAGAGGGTGGATCCCACCTATGCTCGGCTTTGGGTATGCAGATACTCTTACCAGCACCCTGGACTTCCCGACGCTGTGGAGGACGACGTGGGTCACCGGCCGGGAGATGATTGCGAATCTCCTGAGGGGAAAGCTGTGAGTGGCGGACGTGAAGAGAACCTCGTTGAGGGGACGTGGGTAAGAGTATGGTGAGAGAGATGTGTACAGTACTTGTCAGACCAGAGACGCTCAGCATGGGCATCTAATTCAACTTTGTATATAACGCTAAAACAAGCTTGGTGGTAGTTGAGCAAGTGCTTGGGCTCACCCACTGAGTGGTATATACACCCAAACTTCCTCATCTATTCCTTATTCCCATTCATAGACCAGCAAACTTCCAGAGATCAGAAGCGGGATGTAGCGAGCCGGACACCCACAATCAGACGGACTCACGGAAGAAGGCCGAGCGGAAGGCCGTCGACGACGAAACACATTGGATGATGGAAGCTTAGCTAGCGAGGTGATTTCAAATCCCAATTCTGCCCCGTCTACAATAGCACTCAGCCACTGTCATCCAGGACTCTCAAGACTCCAAGACGAAGAGCAAGAGCAAGAGCAACATGGAGACTGGATAGCAACAGCACCAGCGCTGACGTTAAAGCCTGAAGATGATGAAAAAACGCCTCATTCACACACACATACACACACACCAAGATCTCACTCACCACGTCTCCTCTTCTCGATCTCGATATCCGTGCCAGGCATGCAAGCAGCACGCAAGGATATCAGTCTTCGCGAGATCTCCTCCCCATCGTCTCCTTCGCGGAGTCATATTCCATCTGCGAAACCGCGATGGCGTCTCATCTTATGTCATCTGGTCCCGAAACCGGAAACCGAAACTGATATCAACAAATCTTCAGATTTGAGACTCCAAACCGATGCTATCGTAGCGAAGAAAATTATATCGTATCATCAGAAGACCATCCATCATCCGAAAAGCCATAATATAATAAATATATACACCGAATAAACATACTTTCCAAAAAAAAGGCGGGGTCTACGGAGTAGAAATCAAACAGTTTTGCAAGTTTAATTGTCATATAATGATGAGAGTATAAAATATCAAGACTATTTGCTGAAGAGGATGCCTCTTGAGGTTAGATGACGGTTTGATTTGATTGATAGATAGACAGGGTTTGAGTCTAAGGCTAAGGGCTTCAATCCGCGCGATTGCGCACTGCTTGTTACTTATCGCTGTAGTGTATATCCATCGTTTTCATTGAGCTTGTAGCTGTCTGTCTACATGACTCCTTAATACGAAGATGTGAAGCAGAAGCGGAGGACGGGATAGGATCGGGCTAGTTTCTATTTAGGTTTTAGCGGGTGTGTTAGACTACCTAGCTTTAAGAAGGGGTGTGGATGATGATGACGATGGTGGGTGAGGTATAAGAGATGGAAGATAAAGGCGAGTGGGATGGTGATGGTGAGGTGGGATAGGTATAGGGAATCCACTGACCCTTTTCCATCCTTGCCTGCCTTACTCGCCTCAGTCGCCTTCGATCCGGCTGCGGAGGCGGGTTTGCCTGCGAGTCTGTCAGTCCTCCGTGCTTGTTGACTCTGGGGGCCTCGCTTAATATGCTTACTTGCGGCTGCATCTCCATTATCTTTGTCGCCCTGCGCGGCTGCTTTCGTTATTTCCAGTGTCAGTACGTACTCGCAGCTGGCATGAACGGACACGGGTATCGAAATTTCAGACTAACCGTCTCCCGCACCGACCGTGAACTTCTGGCAGTCGTCCTGGGCCCCGCGCTGGGCGACTGGCATGAGGACCGGCTGGTGGTTGGCGGTCGATATCATGGTGCACAGTCTGTAGTTCCCAGCCGGGAGGCCGTCGGTGACCGTAGTAGAGAGCAGGCCGTTCCCGTCGCCCACATCGTTGATGCCCTTGAAAAACACAAACGAGACGGGGTCGGGCGCGGTCGTCGGCGCGAGGCTGTCCCCGAGATTCTGGATCGTCATGTGCACGTGTCCCATGATCTGGCCCAGCCCGTTGAGATCTTGAGGAGCGGAGTAGTAGGTCGAGGCGGGGTTGGTGAATACTCCGGCTGCGAGACCTGTGGTCTGTACCGAGACGGTGAAGGTCTTGCCAGCTGGGAGATTCTCCCCGGGCTTAGGCGAGGTGATGATTCCCGACACCATGTTCGACGTGGAGGGGATCTTGCCCATGACGATCCCGTTGCAGGAGCCGGCTTTGTTTTGGAGACCGTTGGTGGTGATCGAGCCCTTGCAAAAGTTGATAAAGTTGCCGTCGTCGCTGGAAGCGTTAGTACCTGTGTTTCCTGATCTCGCTTCTCGAAGACTTACACTGACGATGGCGACTGGCCAGCTGTAGGTGTCTCTTGACCGGTCAATTTGGAAGCATCTTGAACGTTCTCCGGACTCAGACATAAAAGTCCTTCAAGTGCTGCTGCCCCCTTCTCCTGTCCCAAGCCCTGTCCACCAGCATTCTTGTTTTGCCTGCGAACCGTCCCCATCTGCGAAATGCCCGTATCTGTAATGATGCCGGCCTCGGTCGCGATAGCAAGGCCTAGGACGGCTAATGTGACTTGTTGGAACAACATGACGAATAAAATCTCTGAAATCTTGAGAATAGAAGGCAAACGCTCTGCGTGATAGTTGATTGGGGCGAAGTGAGTGGAAGTACCTGGGACTCGTTGATCTACAAACAGGGAAGCCGAGGACCGAGTTGTAGAATCAAAGGAAGATGTTGAAAGTACGGCACCAAATCCAGAGATACTAGAATCAAAAAAGACAAGAAAGAGTGACGGAGCAATGAAAATTGGACTGCAGCAAGAACCAAACAATGTTGAGAAGTTGCGAAGCGTTGCCAAGATGGGAGGGCTTTCTCTCCATATAAGATATCCTCCCGTCTCGTAGCGCTCCCTCCCCAGGTGCTAAGCAGGCCCGTAACAGCGTCTTCCTTGCTAAAAATGAAGCTGAGATGAAAACAGGGCATCTGTTCTATCTTGTCTGGCCCCTTGCGATATATCGAAACTCACTGGGTGGTGGTCTCGCGCGCCAAGCTGCAGCAGTGTTGCTTCATGCATCGCTTAGCGAGCCATTTCGTCTCAACAACATGAGACGGGCGACAGCGGAAGAGATCGTCTCAATTGTTCGCATTGAGGAGAAAATCTCCGTAAGGTACAATGACATATAGGATCGGTATGCGACCAGATCTGCCGTCTCGGTTGTGAGTTGTAGTCGGTTAAGCCTGCATGGCAGCACGGTGGAGTACTCGTTTTTGTGAAGTACGTATATACCCGCCATAATACCGACTCAGATCCAGTAACAAGTTACTTCGCAAGAAAATTAATAAAAAAATAAGCGTATTCAATATGGCGCATAATAACGCTGACATTGAATTTAAAATAGAAGGGAGCTTCCAAGGGTAAATAGCCTGTCAAGTTCCTATGCAAATGAAGTTGAATAATCCAAACACTAACCTACCGTCGTCACTGACTCTATCTATGTATAATCAACCTCAAAAACCCTAAATCTTACTTAGAGACCCTCGTCCAAGAATGGGTAAGACGACAGGGGATGCTGGATGTAGGTCACTGATCAAAATTGCTGTACCTGGCCTGCGAAACCCTACATACAGCAAGCATACAGGATGTCAGAGTTCTATCCAATCCGCATCTTTAATATACAATTGATTTATCCTCCATATATCATACAAAACCACCATCAAATGCGCCACCATGTATATAACTTCAGTCAGCGGCTCTATATCTGCCTATTGAATCCCTACATGATCACATGAACTATCAATCAATCAACAAGCTCCACAAATTACCCATCCACCATCAGCTGCATATATATACATATATATATCTCCTTATATATAGCGGCTATAACCTACAAGAGTCCCCTCGAGCCTCACGATACATTACAATCAATTTGCGATTCCCCTTCCTCCTCGCAATTCCCTTCAAAACCGTAACCCCCTTCGAAAAATACGAATTCATCGTCTAAAATACTTGGCCCTTCCTTGCCTCCATCTGCCATCCAAAAAAAAAAAGATCGATATCTTCTCTTGCTTATATTATTACGGACTGTAGCAGGTCGGGCCCTATACACCATGCGTCGCAGAACTTCGGACTACAGCGCCCCCAGCCATACGGAGATACATCTGAGCTTCTTCCACTCGAGCGTTAATTCCAGGATGGATGGTTCAAACCGGGGACAAGAAGTGTGCTGGGTGGTGTTTGGGCCGGGGCTTTCAGAAACAAAAGCACGACGATGTATATATACATACATAGATTTTTTCTTCTTCTTTCTGTTACTAGGTAAGTGGTAGGTCGGTATTTGGCCGAGACAATGATGAGATTCCGGGGAATTTTCGAGGATGCGTTATGTATGCATCTAACCTGAAGTGAAAAGGAGAAGAAAGTAGGTTCTGGGGAAGTGGAAAAGAGGATATGAGGGAGGCTTCGTCGAATTGCGCCGCGCTAGTTAAGGCAAACTTGCTTTGCTACTTCCATCTTGCAAGCGATGGAGGCGATGATCGTATCCGAAGATAAATACCTCCTCCTACATCCATCTCATGCCTCCTAGAAGCCACCGAAACCAGAGCTGACCCTCTATGATACATCCACCTCCCAAGCCTCTCGGAAGGTCCACAACGGTATCAAGCAAACCCTGTAAAATGCAGGAGAAAGGTCAACCAGCATTCCATTTGATGCCACCAACATGGTGATCACTCACCATTTCCCTCAGACCGTAGCACAAATCCTCGAGAACACGACTGAGTCCGTCCGTATGGAAAGGGAAAACGCGCGTAATCGGCGCCTACAAGCGTTGACCGCCAAGCTCCTTCTCGTAGATGATCCTCTCCTGGCGGAAGTTGATGTTGATCGTCGCATCCAAGATCAGCACGCCCGAATGCATCTTCTCGAGCCTCTTCCATGACGCCAGGGCCTTCCCCTTCCACGTCTTGTACTGCTTGTTCCGGTACTTGAAATACGCCTCGGTCACAGGTCGGGCACGGAGGCGACGAACGAGCTTTTGGAGCTTGAATCGGGCCTCTCCCGCTTCGAGGTATGTCTTCCATCTGCGACGCAGGATTATCTCCAGGGCGGCGCGGTACCGTGTGATCTCGTTGAGTTCCTAGAAGAGAAAAGCTGTCAGCCAAGAACCTCCCCCCTCTTCCCTTTTTTTTTAGCACTTTTTTTCTTTCTTGGAAGATGCTGGAAGTTGAAAGCTGACCTTGAAGGATAGAGCACCTCCATGGCGGTCAACTTGGTAGATATTCTTGATGTTCTCCGGGAACCACTTTGGGAGCTCTTCTGCTGGTGGGAAGCCCGGATGCGTCGTAGGCTCGGGGACCACTTGCTCGCCATCTGAGTCGTCAAATTCAGCACCGTTCAGCTCTTCATGGTCCTCGTCCGTCACTTCTCTCGGGAATGCTTGAAGATGCTCTCCAGGCGCGAACTTGAGCCGACGAGACAGGGAAGCCGCTGCTGGGGTTATGATCGTCTCCTCAACATCGCTGCCGTCTTCGAGGTCGACTGGAAGCGCAGGGTATCGAGGCAACTGGTGGTCGGCAGTTTGTAAGGTGGACTTGGCCGATTCAACATTGGCATTGGAGTGGCGACGTGATCCGATGACTCTATCGACTGGATGTAAGGTAGTTTTGGGTGATCGAGTCTCGCCTGTGATCTTGGAGGTTGGAAGCTTGTCTGATCCGAGAGATGGTGGGATATTCACATTCGGGGTGGAATCGGGGGTCTCAGCTGTTCTGATCTTAGCACTCAAACGACCAGAGTGGGCCGATCTGCGAGCGTTGCCATTAGTATGTGTCCAAGTAGGCTCGGTGTCGGCATTGACATGTTCCGAAGAGGTCAGTTCTTCTTGGGCTTTTCTGGCCTTTCGTCTCTGCTTGTTACGTCTTTTTCTCTTCTTCTTGCTTTCGGTATTTTGTGGGGTTTCAGATGCCACTCGTAGCTTGGGGTCACCTTTCAGTGGCTCGAGGATGGAACTCTCCAAGCCCTCGGGATCAACGGTGTGACCAAGACCCATCTTAGCGAGTGCTGCAGTCAGTAATTTGCTGATGCTGTCGCTGAAGCTGCGATTTGGTGGTGTGGAAGTCAGAGCAAGAGAGATCAGCGCAGAGCTCGAAGTTGTGGGGAGATTAGAGATAGGTTGGAGTAAAGAGGTGAGAGGCAACAACTGTTTACTCTGGCTCGCTAAGACAAGAACGCGCGCGGGGGAGGCTTCCAAGATCCCGTGATTCACCACAAACGCGCTAGTGGAATCGAGCCAGGAATTTGTCGGTGTCATATGAGGGAAAGGAATACCGTGGAGATGCGAATAGTACTGTCCTTTAAAGCGTCTGCCATGTTTGCTTTGCTCTGCGCGGGCGAATGACCTATCAGAACTCTCGTTGCAGACCGAGAATTCATTCGATCGACTTCGAATGAAGAAGAAAGGTGAACGGAGCTACTGGTAGATACATCAATAAATACCCGATCTAGTGCTGCTGTTTACCTTTTCTCGCTTGGAGCCGCTGCGCTTTGGCGAGCCAGGGATGTTCCACGACAAAGCCACCAACTCCTCATGTATCATGACCCCTCTGCGATAGCAGTCTTTTAAAGAAATACAAGGATTTGACTGATACTCTCGAACCATATCTCGCTCTTTAAAGGCTCGTCTTTAGCTTTTGCTTGTCACGAGACCGGAACTATCAAGGCGCAAAACATCATCATTGTCATGTAAGTCTCTGAGTGAAGTCGACGCATTACGAAGGTCGGATAAACTCTACCTAACATGTCGTCCGCCCAAACCAACTGTCAAGAGCATCTTTCCCTCAGGCAATATGCACTTCTTCCTCACCTTTCCCCTTTCCTCCAAAACGCGGAATCACCCATCCTTAAACGCCTCGCAAGCCTTCGTCAGCAAAGCATGAGCAACCCCATTCTCCCAGCCAAGGTTGTGAAGTAGCACAGACGAACTGCCCTGCTGAGGATGAGGCACCAACGCCTCCATGATCAGTCGCCAGATGAAAATCCCCTGGTCGAAGTTCTCCGCTCCCTTGCCCACCCACCCGAATCTCAAGATCTGGCCACGCATGAGCAGTCCCCAGCCGCCAGGGACCACGTTTGTCTCTCACCTTTCAGATCTGTGTAACTAGCCTTTTGAGATTTGCATTTTGCACTACGGATACGGCCCTTTCGTCTTCTACCCAAGTCTCATGATAGATAATCTATTTTTAACAAGAATCATCAGCTCAGCTCGTATCTCGCAAGGAGTAGTCCCTATGGATCTTACCCTCTATGCAAGCTTGTCGTACAGTTTATTGCCTTCTACAAGGCAAGCGGGGATCTCAATTGACTCCGCCATCGTAGTTGACCGCTACAAGACTTCAGATAAGAGGTAAGGGGAGGGACATTCTTGTAGCTAATAGCAAAAGAAACAGAGAAAAGCAGGAATGTCAAAGGTGCTGTGTATTGTCTCACAACCTCTTTCTGTTGTTTTATAGCCCCCTTCCGCCATACAACCCAATTCACTTGTCCACCTTATTCTCCCCTAAAATCTCTTTCTGCTTCTTTCTCCCCCAAAACCCCATTCAAACATCCAATCTCATTCACTCGTACACCCTATTCCTCCCTTAAAATATTCTCTCGTTCTATCACACGCCCTTGTTAACGGTGACCAAGTGCCGACCCAGACTTTCAAAGCAACATACTATATATATGAATAAAAGCAATCTCTTCCAGATTCCCAGCACTCTGGTAATAAATACACATCCATCCTATCCTTTTCCAGAATTCCAGCTCAATGACCCTTGAAATCCAGCACCGTATTCCCAGCCATTCGGCTATACCATACTCTTATTCGGGAAACCTCCGGCCGCATTTCGAGGAGCGCCGCTTCTGCTACGCAGCAAATCGAAACTTGTGATGCGCGTCGGTTGACAATGAATGATATATTATGACTTACGGCCAAATAAGCGAAGAAAAAGGGGGCCAGGCCCGGCACGTGCCGGCTATACACCCTCCTATCGATCTTAGCAAGTCCGAGCTAGTCTGACGAGCATAAAAATGTTTCCCAAGTTGACCAGATTTTAACCTCCCAATGTCAGCTAGGAGAATGGAGGCCAAAAGAACAGAGCAGGTCGAGTACTGGAAAAAAATTGCGAGCCGAGGAACAAAGTGGCGACAATGTAAAATTCTTTACCCGGATACCTACCTACTCTGCCTTTATCATGTTCAGCCAGTTAAGAACCATCATGGCCTTCACCAAATTGCCCTTCATGTCCAAATGTACCCCATCGTACTTATTACTTTGGATACTCATGTTCCACGTGCCGAGATGGTCCAGACCCCTTTCCTTCGCCAACTGAAGTCTGGGTCAATTCGCTGGAAAAAGCACAACGTTACGGACAGGATCGAGCACTAACCATTCCGACTGCTTCCTCGAAAAGCATCAAGGCCTTGTTCCCTTGAGTCACTATCCAATCGTCGGGCTTCTCTTTCCCGGCCGCATTGGGAGTTATGAAGAGGCCTGTCCACTCGGATCCTAAGATATCACGAATGGCGCCAATTACACCGTCCAGCCAGCGGACGGACATTTGGAGATCGAGGTTACTCCAGAGCCCGTGGCCCAGAATGACTGCAATGGGCTTCTTTCCAAATGTAGTGACGTCTTCCTTCAAACGCCTGATCTCGTCCTCGGGGATCGGGTACTTCACGATCTGCTCCACTATGGGATGTTAGAAGCATATCCAAAGGGGAGTGAATAATAAAACTGACTGATAACGTTGATGTTGTTTGGACAAGAAATACTGGCAGGATCATTTGCCATCACATCCGCCGTTTTGTATATCCCCTGGACTGAGCAAGCCTTGACATCAAACTGCTCGTTGCAAAAACACTCTCTCCTGTTACCCCATTAGCATGGCCCCATTTAGTCAGTCTCCAGCTCATCCATCTCCCCTGATACCACCATTTGCAGGAACATACCTTTCCTGTAACGAGAAGTTCCAATCCGTCACAGCCCCGTAGCCCAAATCCTTCCTTACCAGCACATTCAAACTCCCAGTAATATGCCTCAGCATCGAATCTCCTACCAGCACAACTTTCTCGAAGCGTCCCAGAATCTCACACACCTCCTCCGTGCTGAACCACCGCATATCACAGCCTCGAGGCATGTAGGGGGCATCGTAACCGATCCTTCCACCTCCAGACATGGCTGCCAGCATTGAAGCGCGGTCGGCGCAGAGCGGGCTGAAAGGGGCGTGAAGATCTAGAGAGGAGATATCGCAGATGTTGCGGAATTTGTAGGATTGGAAGACATCGGTGCTATCGGGGATGCGGTAGGGGCTTGCCTCGGGTGGCTGAAAGGCGGCGTAGGGAGTGGTGGTGGCAGTGGCAGTGGTGGAGGTGGAGCTGTAGATCCGAAGATCAATGGGCTGTAAAAGGTAGGTTGAAGAAGGGATCAGGCGGCGGATCATGACGAAGAGGCCCAGGATGGAGAGGGCGAAGACGATCTTTGCATGTCCATGTCTGAGCCGGAATAGTGGTATTCGGGGAGGGCGATTGGTGGCCCATTTGAGCCGGGTGCTGGTGGGCGTGGAGGGGGTTGTGAAGGGATCGTCGTTGGTCTGTATCTGTGGCCGCTGCCACATGTTGTTGTTGTTGTTGTGGCTGTGGCTGTGGTTGTCCGAATGTCCTTGTTGAGATAGGCGGAGATGAAGGTGTTGGTGATGGTGTTGAAGAGAAGTAGAGGGACAAAATGGGGAACAGAGAAAGGGGAAGAGAAAGAGGAGAACAGAGGGCGCTCGCTTATCTCAATGGAAAGGGGCACGGCACCACTTGGGAAGGAAGGAGCGATAGCCGAGCTTCATAACACTAACTTACTCACTCACTATTACCCAGGATGGATGAAAATGCAGATTGAACCGGGACAGAACATCCAGAAAGTTTCTTGTTGCATCTGCCATATTAAATATATATACGATACAGCCTTTACCGAATACAAGGGATATCATCTCATCTTCGACTCCACCACGTCCCCAGCGGGTATGCGATAGCCTTCGCCATGTCATAACCCCAGCCATACCAGCCTCGTACGCGCTCAACCGCGTTCAACACTGAGACGAATCGACGTGTGAAGGTATCTACTCGCATAGTTAGTAAGTCAATCGTCTGCAGTCAGGTAAGCAGATCAATCACATACCAACTTCCGTAAAATCATCTCCAAGCACTTCCCACACAGCCTGCTCCGAGACGCCCTCATTACTCTTCGGCAACAGCTTCCACTTGCCGTCAATCTTGACACGGGGTCCAACCACAAGTGCTTTGCCGTGGATGGAAGCGTCGGCCATCAGTCGAGTCCCAGCAACGACGACATCTTCGGATTTGCCCATCGCGCCTCCAGCGAGAAGGACCCGAGCGGGAACGGCGATGAGGGGTGTGTCGATGAAATAGGGGCAGAGCACTTTGTTATGTTGATTAGCATGGTATCAGAGGTAGACGGAAAGAAGAGTATCTCACTGTTGATCCGAATCCCCTTGACAAAACTCGTAGCCCTCAAGCTCCTCTACAGCCCGCAAGTCAGCAACTCTCTCTCTCTCTCTCTCTCTCTCT